ATTATATATGGCTAATTGAAAAAGAAATATTAAAACATTAAAAAAAGGACCCAAGTAACATTTGCCCAATTTAAATGTTTTTTTTAAAAAAAAAAAAAACTGGGCAGGATGTTTCATTCTCATCCCAACACAAGATAGAAATCCTGTCTCATCTCTGTTTACTAGGATAGGATCAAGATAGGTTTGTTCCCATCCCTTCCTCTCTTATGAGCATCTCTACTAGATAATAATAAAGGTACACCCCCCTCCTTTGTAATGTAAGAAATTTTCTATAAAAAAATTTGTCCTATATATAAGAAGTTGACAGAGCAGAGAAAATTAAGAGAGCAATTAATGGTAGTTTTTCAGTTTCACCCTTTTGTTATAAGAAGGAGAGAGGATTTTAAATGCATGAGAGATATGAGAGAATTTTGCAAACACATTCTTTAATAAGAATAAAGTAGATAACTTTTATTAATTTAAAACACATTTAATGATTTAATTGATATTCATGAGTCTCTGAGAAAGATTAGCTAACATTTTATATTATGAATTGGATGGGAGGATATGGCTCAATTTCAAAATTGATATTCCACACTAACTAAACAATATTTTTACTTATAAGCTTCAAACAACCGATTTACGCATAATAAAAAATTACTTAGGAGTAATAAATAAATAAAAAAATATTTTTATTTTTAAATATGTCTTTAAATTTCATAAAATAGATGACGTATCTTTTTAAGTTTAAAACTTATAAATGAGACGAAAGGGAGTATCCATTATCTATGTCTATCACTCTTAACGCTATGTTTAGATGGAGAGAAAATGAGAGAGGAAAAAAAACTAGAAAAAAAATAGGGAGAGAAGTGGTTTTTCTCCTGTTTAGATGAGGGAAGAAAAGTAGGAAGAAAGAAAAGTAGGGAAGAAAATGTGTTGGGTCCCACAGCCTATTTTCTTCCCAACTTTTCTCTTTATATATGGAGAGAAAATGAGAAGAAAATATATTTTTCCTCTCTACCCTTACATATGTTTTTTCAGCAAAATAATACCTAATTATTATTTTTATTTTTTCAATTTATTTATTATTATCAAGTCTTTCTTCTGTATTTGCTTGATTAAAAAATAAAATAACTAAAATTACAAAAATCCTTCTAAAATGAATTGAGAGGAAAAACAAATAGAATTATTGTTTTGGTTTTTTTAACATTATATTACACAAAATGTTATTTTTTTATTTTTTTTACAAAATTATTTGATATTAAAATAAAATAACATGATAATATATCTTTATCAAATAATTTAATTTTAAATTATATGATTATGTTAAATTATATGATTATGTTAGTGTAAATATGGTTTTTCATTATGATATTTAATTTGATTTTAATCAAGATATATTTTGATATAACAGAAAGGGCATTTTAGTCATTCATATTTTACTCATTTTCTTTGTTTTCTGTTTTCTCTTATCCATCCAAACATGAGAGGTGATAATATTTTCTCTCTAATTTTCTCTTCTCTCTATTTTCTTTCCTCTCAATTTTTCTTCCCATCCAAAAAGTCATGAGATTATGGTTGATCTTATGATTTAAACAATCATAACCAGTACATCGAGTTTTTCCGAATTGATTATATGGTTTAATTTTTTTTTTAATATCTTGAAATCTTAATTCGTCCGAGGATCTTTTTAGCACGGAGAAAGCATATAGCGGGCTATTATATCATACTATCTCTAATTTTTAATATAAGAACTAGTTGATTTATTTTAATAGATTAAAAAAACTAGTTAAGTTAGTTACTTATAATAAATAGATATTATCTTTCTTATAATATCATTGTTAATCAAATGTCTTAGTTAGAACTATCATTATTACAAAGACTATCTTGAAAAAAAATAAATAAATATTAGAGACGAAATATATTAGGATTTTATATTTATGATCAAAATAAAAATTAAATAAGCTTTTATGGTCTTATGTTAAGAATTGAAAATAGTAACTCAAAAGGTCCCTATAATATTAATATTATACAAGGTTTGGGTTCTACATCTTAATTTTATAAAATATCTTTTAAATCCGCTATTCCAAACCCTGTTAATCTCAAATGATGGTTTCGCTTCTTCTTTTTTTTTTTTTTAAGAAATAAACTTAATATGTTAAAACCTTTATGTTATTTCTCAATTACATTAAGAATCCTAATTTTTTTTTCTCCTGATACTTCTATAATATTATCTTTCAATTACATTCCGTATCTTAAATCATAAATGAGAAAAATAATATTAGAGTACTAGATACTAATTTACTCTAAATTTAATAAATTACTATATAAACTAACATATTATAAATTTATAAATTATTTAATCTATTAATTTTTAAATTGTTAACTTTTTTTTTTTCAGTTTTTACATATATTATACAGTATATTACTATTTAAAATTTTAGTAGTTTGTAATTTTATGTTTGTGTATGCGTGTATACACACACGAGGATGAAATAATGGAAGAAGGGAGAAGAAGGGGACTACCCTCACTTGCTTTGAGGAGAGAGAAAAGAGAGTATTTAGGTAGAAATAAAATCATAGTTTTAAAAATACTTTTACAGTATATGAAGTAAATATATGAAGAAGTTTATTTCAATTTATAAAAAAGTGTTTTTTAAAAGCACTTCTTGAGTAATCCAAACATCCCAAAAGATTCTCTCCTCCCCAATTTCCCTCCTTCCCCTTCCTTTAATGATTCAGATTTAACATTTTATAAAATTAAATATTATTATAATTTTATTTAAAAATATATAAATGAAGTTCATTTGATTCATTTCAATCCGTTGATCTCGAAAATGACTAAATAAAATTGATGGTTTGATTAAAAGAGAGAGGCAAGAGCGAGGCACCGAATCAAGTCAAGATTGTCGTACTTATCCCGCACGTTGAATAAGAGCCATACGAGATAAGCTGACATTAAAAGTATGAAAAATAAAAAATAATTAATTTTGATTGAAAATGTGTCAGTTTATATGTATTAGTAAGACAACAAGATAGGTACGTAAAATTAAGCATCACTCTTCGTGACACCAAAATATGTAATTAACAAGCCAAACCAAATATCAATTAGATCAAGTTTCATCGTTAAATATATATATATATACTTTAATTTGGTAAGTTTACCTTTTTCCAGATCTTGTCTACAACTTGTTTTCTCATATGATTAGCGAGCTTTAATTTTTTTTCCCCCTCTTTCAATTGCAGTGTCGTCATCGTATTCCTTGAAAAAATTATAATTCATCCACCAAATTAAAGCTAGCTTTTGGCTATATATATATATATATAGCAAAAAATGGAGATATAAATGTGACAACCGTTCTTTCAAAACTATTTTAGATTAAATATAACAATTTATTTGAATGATTGACCATGATAGAAAAAAATAAACCTTAAAATTTTAAAATCGCTATCATAGTTAAAAGAAATAAACTTAAATTATGAGCAACATCGATCGTTAAACGGGTCTTGGACTTACAAAGTCCAGAAATATCATTTAACCATTAGCCCAAACCAAACTTATACTTTCAAACATACGAATTGATAATCATTTTAATATAAGTCATGGAGCCTATTAGTTAAAATTAACACTATTAAAAGTGCGTAATACGCAAAGTCTTAAATATCTCTGGCCTTCCAACGACCCCCATATCAGATAGTAGTAATTAAAAGTATTAGTTTACAGCATTAGAGTATATGGGCCCTATCTGGCAATATATAACACGTCCACACATAAAACAAAAGTAGGGAGACTATACAAGCTATAACAGCACACTATGCCTCCGGAGCCTTCCTTAATGGGCCACTGCTTGAACTATCACCTGAAGATAGTAAAAACCACAGGGTGAGACAAACGCCTCAGTAACCAACTTTCCAACTCATCATGTATACTAACACATGCTCGCGAGGTGTCAAGTGAGACAGTTATTAATTCTCGAGAACATAGATATATAATTTCAATCATCCAAACCCTCACTATGGAGATTAACGCACAAGCCACATAAGTCTATCCCTTACTATGGGGGATTAATCAGACATATAAGCCTATCCCTCACTCTGGGAGACGAATAAGAAGCCACAAAGGCCTATCTCTCACTATGGGGGATGAAGGAAGAAGCCAACCAATGTGCACTAATGGCGGCCTTACCATGTGATAGGATAGCGCTCAATCCAAAATCCAAATAACAACCAATCATTCACAATATAACGAAAAATGTCTCAATAATCTTTTCTCAATATAATCCATAAGATATAAATCATATATCTTTTCCAAACTTCTCAATCACAATTTCCAAAAATTCCACAAGACAATTTTTATAGCTCAAAAGATATAATATATCTACTCGAATTCCAAATAACAAATATTATTCAAAAATAGGAAAATACTCACAAACAACATATTAGCATATATACAAGTGGAAAGTGGTTACCTCTCACCAAAAACAATATTAAGGATTACCACAAGGTCAATCCTTTACTCAACCAATAATTAATCTAAATTATCTTCAAAGCTTTGCCTTCTCCTTCACGAGGACTACTGCTATGCTCTTTCTATTTCTCTCTCGCTCTCTCGCTCTCTTCCCCTCTTTCTCTCACGCATTCTCATCTGCCCCCTACTCGCTCTTTTGTCTCTATCTTCCCAACTACCTTTTTCATTTTTTCTTCTATCATTAAATATACCAACCCCAAAATTCTTCATTCTTCTTTCAATGCTACCTCCATTTTCCACCCTACTCCAACTTTCCACCTCCCAATTCCAATGTTCAACCTTTAGTTTTCAACTTTCTACCGAAAGTTGGTGGAAAGTTGACTCTATTATTATTTATTTTATATGTATATATTAGGATATTACAATAAATATGATTAATAAGTGCAGTTTCCTAATCTTTTATTTTCATCAATTGAGCATCTGCATCTGCATATGCACAATTTCACGCATGTTTAATAGAAATAAGCTTGCGTTTTGATAAACATGGCTTTGATTTATTGCAATTTTTTTGCTTCCGTTATATAGATTCAAGGACATATATCCAACACTGGCCAGAACATATTCCAAGTGGTAAATATATACATGAAACCCTAATAGTAAGGGGAATAGCAAAAAGGAACTACATTCAGATCGGTTTTCCTTTTAACCACGGCACCAAAAGACTCGTTCATGTCCAAATTCTCAAGCTTCATCCCTTCAGAAAGTTTCCAATCAAAATGGTAAAGTAAATTAGAGAGTAACAGTTCTAAAACGGGTGTAGCAAATGTGATTCCAGGACACATCCTTCTTCCAGCACCAAATGGGATATAGTTAAAGTTCAAACCTTTGAAGCTGTAATCAGCCGATGTACTAAGAAACCTCTTTGGCTCAAATCTCTCTGGTTCATTCCAATTCTTAGGATCTCTTCCAATAGCCCACGCATTAATCATAATCTTTGTCTTGGAGGGTATTTGGTATCCATTGATAACACAGTTTTCACTGTTTTCTCTTGGAACTAACAAGGGTACAGGTGGGTGTAGCCTTAGAGTTTCTTTGATGACAGCACCTAAATATTTCAACTCATGAAGTTTAGATTCATCTACGTACCCCTTGCTTCCATAGACTCTTCTTACCTAATGCAAAACCAATAAATAATATCATAAGTCAACTCAATACTCCAATATACTAAGAATCATATTTACATACTTACGCAAGACTAAGAAAATGTACGCTACTAAAACATTGGAAGTTCAATTTGTGTCCATACCTCTGCTTGTGCCTCTTTCATAGCCTCTTGGTTTCTGAGCAATTCTGACATTGCCCACTCTGTTGTGGTTGCTGTTGTGTCAGTTCCAGCAATGAAAACATCCTGAAAATGGAATTCACAACTATCATTAGAGGGACATGCAAGCAATGTGAGTTTATAATAATAAGTGCACATGAACTAACCTGAAGGACAGCTTTGACGTTGTCAAGAGATAAGGGAATCTCAATACCATCATCCTTTTGAATCCTGAGAAGAACGTCAACTAGATCCTCTTCTATCTCTCCAACGTTATCACCTTTCTTTTCTTGATGGTCTTTGATGATGGCTCCTAGCACTCTATCAAAGTCTTTGTGCACCTTCATAGTTCGAGCTCTCATCCCCGTGATGAAACTAATAAATTTTAGTGAAGGATAGAAATCAGAAATTGATAACCCAGAGCTTATATTTATCACTCGATCTACGATTTCCAGGATGTGTTCTACATTCTTTGTCTTCTTCCCAAGGGCCGCTCTTGCCACTATAGAATTTGTCAGTGCAGAAATTTTTGGACTGAGGTTCATGACAGAACCTTCATGTTCAGAAATGTTCCTCACTAGTGCTGATATCTCCTCTTCCCTTATCCTTCTGAATGATTGAACCCTCTTTGATGAGAAAAGCTCCAAAATACAAATCTTTCGAAGTTGCCTCCAATAGTTTCCATATGGGGAAAAGAAGATGTCTGTGCTGTTGTAGCCAAGGATATCAGAGGCAAGATATTTGGGTCTATTTGCAAAGATCTGATCATGTGTCTTCATTATTTCCTTTGCATATTCAGGTGAAGACACTATGATATAAGAAAGCTGCCCAAGTTGAAGATGGAAGAACGGTCCATACTTGTTTGCAAGATTTCTGAGAGAATGATGAGGTAGTGGGCCAGCAAGTTGGTGGAGGTTTCCGATGAGAGGTAATTTCCATGGCCCTATGGGTAGGTTTTTGCTGGGTTTAAAAGAAGATAGCTTCAGGATTACAAGGAAGAAGCAGAAGAAGAAAGTGAAGACGACAGAGTATGAGATCTGAATCTCCATGCTCAAATGTTTGCTGATGGGATTGTAATTATGAATTGAAGTGAGGCTTTGCGTTGTCAAGTTGTGATTTTTGTACTGAACAATGAACAATTTGTCGCGTATATATAATTCTCCAAAGTTGAATAGTCCTCATCACCTGCGTTTTAATATGACTTATTTGCAATGAGGACTAACCTTAACGGTTTTTCCATTAATTTTGTAGTAACGTATTTCACATGCTGTTGATTTACTACAATTTAAGGAGAAAAATATAGTAACGTTGAAAAAATTTGAAAAATTGTTAATTCATTTTCACGGTAAAAAATTTCACAGTTTTTTTTTTAAAATCTCTATCAGATTGGATATAATAACACCCCCAAATATATAAATATATTGATAATAAATTATTAAGGGAAAAGTAATATGCTGGTCCTTAAATTCTACAGGATTTTTAAGTAGGTCTCTAAAGTTTTTTCTTTTTTATTAAATCCTTATACTTGTTAAGGTTATAGCCGTTGATCCTTCTGGACGAAAAACATTACAGAATGTTAACAGATTGAAAACGGCGTTGGCACTGAGGTGGAAAACTCGAGCCGTGATGTACGTCTTCAACGAAGTGGCGGGGTATAAGATCTTCAGCACTAAGGAACACCTGTAAATGTTTCTCCAGGAAGCCATTGCCCACTTTTCGATGACCATGGAAGTCCAAGGAAGAGCAAGTCCTGCCCAGTGAAGGAAGGGAGTGAGGAATGCTGACACTGGGCATTGATAAATTTCGCAAGCGAGGGCAACAAAAATAACACTTGTTATCACCATTCTCAGTTATTTTCCAGCTAAAATCCGTTTCAGAGTTTAGACCATACCTTCCTTTCCTCCACTGAATCCAACAAATTGTTTTACTCAATACCCAAGAGTTACACTTATGCATATAGAAGTTTTGAAAAACTGGATCATGTCCAAAGCTTCATGCTCAGGTCCACCAAAAAAAAAAAAAAAGATCCAAAGCTCCATGCTTGTGTAGTCTATTATATGTTTATTGGTTTTAAGCCTACCTCTGTTTTTTATCCTTAAAAACAGGGATAAACAGAGTAATATAATTTACCAGAATGCAAGATTGCAAAACCAGGAGATAATATTAAAAAGTATCATGTACTCTTAATCAGCGCAGGGGGATAAAATTATCGGCTTATAAAGACTGGGTATTGCACTTTGAATTGAAGAAACTCATGTTTCAATTCTCCAAATATATCATGAGATGCTTCCATAGCACTTTGAACATAGGTAATGATTGGAACGGTTTGTATAATACTGCTGCTGCAGCTAATTATTAGAAAGTTTTGGGATATGCATTAAAGGAAGAAATATATTATGACAATAGTGAGAGAATGATAGACCAAGACGCTTGATGAGTGGTCTCATCAAGTTAGCCAATTCTTTCTACTTTGATGCAGTTGTATTAAAATTCCAGCAAAGAGCAGACGTTCGCTAGGGAACTCAATGTCAGAGACATTTACTATCCGTTAACATTTTATAACATTTTTTGTCTGAAGGATTAACGGCTATAACGTTAATAAGTATAAGGATTTAATAAAAAGAAAAAAAACTTTGGAGACCTGATTAAAAATCACATAGAACTTTAAGGACCAACAGATTACTTTTCCCAATTATTAATAAAATAACAATGATTCACAATCATCAATTTAGAAATGATAATTTGGTAAAAATATTAGTTTTTTTTTCCGGTACAAGATAAGAATGACAGAATATCTACGTGATGAGGAATCAAACCCCCTCTTATTGGTGAAAGGGTGCAGTTCTTCTCGCTAAGCCTAAGCAGGAGAAAGGATAAAATGCTAGAATTTTTTTAGTGACATTTAAATTTTTTTTCTATATATAGGTATCCTCTCGTTAGAGATAAGTTTACTCGAGATACTAAATTTAGGTGTTGATATAGTTCTTATTTGGAATTATTTAAATAAGTATTTATAAGCACATTTTGTATAAGTTAAGACAAAACTATTGTTATGTACTTACTTCATATTTTGTAAATTATAATTAAAAAACTGTTTATAATTTATTTTAAACGGGCTCAATTTTGTAGCCCAACGCCCAACTTATGGGGGTCAGATCTCAGAAGCATTTATTTTTGTCACTATATGATAAAACCATACGGTTTTTAGTTGGGGGGCAAAAAAGAAACTGACATGGTTTTTGTTTTTTTGGGGTTGACCTGAACAGTACGTTTGATTCATTTCAATTCGCTGATCTAGAAAATAGTTAAATAAAATGATAGCTTTGTGATTAAAAGAGAGGAAAGAGAGAGACACCGAATCGTACTTGTCCCGTTGAATAAGAGGCGCGAGATAAGCTGACGTTAAAGGAATGAAAAAATGAAATCAAATTCAATAATTATGTTCAGTTTAATTAACAATTAGATTATAACCAAAATCAATAATTATGTTCATTTAATTATATTCAAATCCTTTTTTTCCGTTAATTATATTTCAATTCAGTTCACTTAATTATCATCTGCTCAAGTTTTATCATTTAATTTATACTACTACTGGTACGTTTATTCTGTTCAGATCTTGTTATAATTCGAGATTGTTAGATTGTTTAATCATTTAATCTATTGAATGGAACATCTCAAGAAATAGAAAGTAAAGGGAGTTGTCTGTGATCATGATTTGCATCAACTATACGAAAATTATTTTTAAACTTAAATTTATCATAGTCAAATTTTATTTTACATTAATTTAATTCCTCCACCACCCGCACTTTGATATCCTAACGCGTAACTTGAAAGCATCAAACCAACTAGAATAGTCAAAAGGAGTAAAACCAACAATAAAATTTCAAAACAATAAAATGAATAATAATTAAGTATATAAGATAAATGCAACCGGGAGATTTGAGGAAGTAGTGAACAAGTTTTGAGTTCTTGGAGAGCAGTAGTGGTGCAACATGGATTCAAGGATATGTATCTAAAACTGACCGAAACATTATTGAGATGATTATTAACACATAAGCTCAAGGGGAATAGCCAATAGGAACTAAAATCAGATCTTTTTCCCTTCTTATTGCTGCACCAAATGCCTCATCCATGTCCAATTCGTCAAGCCTCATTCCCTTTGGTAGTTTCCAATCAAAATGGTAAAGTAAATTGGAAAGTACCAACTCTAAACCAGATGTAGCAAATACGAGTCCGGGAATATTCTTCTTCCAGCACTGAATGGGATGTACTCAAAGTTTGAACCTTTGAAATTATAATCAACCATTGTATCAAGAAACCTTTTTGGTTCAAATATCTCTGGATTATTCCAACTCTTGGGATCTCTTCCAATGGCCCAAATATTAATGATGATCCTTGTCTTTGAAGGTATCTCATGCCCATTAATTACACAACTCTCACTATTCTCTCTTAGAACCAATGGCCCTGGAGGATGCAACCTTAAAGTTTCTTTGATGACAGCACCTAAAAACTTTAACTGGTGAAGTTCTGATTCATCTACATATCCCTTCTCTCCAAACACTCTTCTGACCTAACGTAGAGCCAAAAGTAATTCTCATGTACAAGTCAATTGAATAATTTCAAATGTATAAATCAATATGAATAAGTAAATAAATAATCATCGATACTAAGAGTCACATTTATATACACACAACCGACAAAATTACGATGCAACGTTCAAATTCTAGTTGTACCTATACCTCTTCTTGTGCCTCTTTCATGGTTTTTGGGTTTTTGAGCAATTCGGACATCGCCCAATCTATCGTACTTGCTGTTGTTTCAGTTCCAGCAAAGAAAACATCCTGAAAAAGAACTTATACAATTGATTAATTAGAGAAATGTGTGCGAAAAAGAACTCATAAAATTTAATATGATAGAGTGCACACGACGACTGACTTTAAGAACAGCTTTAATGTTATCAAGAGATAAGGGAATCTCAAAGTCATTATCCTTTTGAATCCTCAGAAGAACATCCACTAGATCCTCCTCTGCCCCTCCAACATTATTTCTTTCCTTCTCTTTGTGCTCTTTGATGATTTCGTCAAATACTTTGTCGCAATCTTTTTGCAACTTCATCATTCGAGCTCTCGACCCAGTGACGACACTGATAAACTCTAGTGAAGGATATAAATCAGAGCCAGAGCTTAGCTTTACCGTTTGCTCCATAACTTGTAGGATCTGTTCTACGTTCTTTGTCTTCTTCCCAAAGGCCGTTCTCGCAACTATGGAATTCGTGAGTATGAAGATTTTTCTACTAAGGTTTATGAAAGAGCCTTCATGTTCAGAGATGTTCCTTACGAGAGCTGATACCTCTTCTTCCCCAATCCTTCTGAATGATTGAACCCTCTTTGCTGAGAAAAGCTCTAAAGTACAAATCTTTCGAAGTTGTCTCCAATAGTTTCCGTATGGGGAAAACGCGATATCTGTGCTATTATAGGCAAAGATATCAGAGGCGAGAATCTCGGGCCTGTTTGCAAAGATCTGATCATGTGTCTTTAGTATTTCTTTGGCATATTCTGGTGAAGAAATTATGATGTGGGAAAGCTGTCCAAGTTGAAGATGCATGAATGGTCCATACTTGTTTGCAAGATTGGTGAGAGAACGATGAGGTAGTGACCCTACTAGTTGGTGTAGGTTTCCAATGAGAGGTAATTTCCATGGTCCTGGAGGTAGGGTTTTGATAGGTTTCTCGGAAGAAGATAGCTTGGAGATCGCAAAGAAAAAGCACAAGAAAGTGAAGAAGATGATGGAATATGGGATCTGTATTTCCATATGGTCGCGCATATAATGAAAGAATGATAAAGTTAAGTGCGGGGTTTTGCTTTGTCAAGTTACGCCTTTTGTTGTTGGTGTGAATTGAATAATGTATAAGTAAAATAAAGATCAACAATATGATTTTTTTTCTTTATTTTTGTTTTGTTGTAAATTTCATGCCATTGACTTGCTACAGTTTAAACAAAGTTCATTATTGGTGATTTTTTTGCCAGCTTAGTATTGATAATTTTATGTTATCTCATTTATTAATTCCACAATGTCTATATCATAGTCAGCTGCCGTCGATAGTAATAAAAAGCTGCCAAGTGCTTTAAAAATTATAAGTCGTTGTAGTCGTTGAAATTTATTCGCCAAAGAAAGCTAGCTTTTGGCCATGTACACCGCAACATATGCTGATATAAACATGATTAACTGCATTTTCATATTTATGAATCAAAATGAATAGATAACTAATCCATTATTTTTGTAAGAATAATATTTATACAATTAGACAGACTTCAAAAATGTCAATAAAACATTGCTTCCACTTTATTGAAAAAAGGGATTCACATTTATCGTTAGACGGATACGTGTGCTCAGTGAGTTCATTCATATGGTTCCAATAAAATTCAGCTGTTCGTGGTAATAAAATAAGATAACATAGAAATGTAATATTAATGAATATTTCTTTTTCTTTAATTCTCGCGTGATTCATGCATGTTATATAATATTTCAGCTATCGAATTATCAATCTGTTTTTGTTTGTTTGTCTCGTTCCTTAGCTACTATACATGAAGAAGTGTCGTTTTGTATTTGTTTCTAATAAAAAGGAAGTTGTTTGTGGCAGTAAAATAAAATAATCGAAAGCCATACATTACTTTAATTGAACATATCACTTTGTTTGAATTAGTACACCGAAAAATAAGGTAAAAGTTAACATCAACTTTCGTGACAACAATGACACTCAAATCAAACATAAATGAAACTATAACCAAAATCAATAATTGATTTCAACTAATTATATTTAATTCAATTCGCTCAACTTTATATCATTTCTCGAATCTTGAGATTGTTAATTAGATAATCAAGATAGTGGCGATACACACAATCACACACACATTATGAATGGACCATTTCTTTTTTTTTTTAATCTGAATATGAATGGACCATTTCAAGAAACGAAAATTATTGGAAGTACACGGAACTGTCATAATTAAACTCGTAATGAATTATTTGCATGGATTATATGAAAATTAGCCTTATTTTAATTCTAAATAATATTGTAAAATTTTGGATAGAGTTGATAAAGAAAACAAATATGGTTTACGCGATTTTAATCTCTTTTACTGCTCACTTTTTAAAAGTATATGATCGTACAATATTTAATTTATTTGTTTAGGCAAAATGATGGGTACTAAATACGGAACTATATTATTTTTTTATTATTGATTTTTGCCTCCGCAATATATATCCAAGGATATCTAACACCAGCCAAAGCATCATCTAGGAAATAATCACATATAACCCTTATTAGAGGAAAAGCTAATAGGGACTATATTCAGATTGTTTTTCCTTCTAACTGTGACCCCAAATGACTCATCCATCGCCGATTCCTCAGGTTTCATCTCCTTCGGAAGTTTCCAATCAAAGTGGTAAAGCAAATTGGAAAGCAACAATTCTAGAACAGGTGCCGCAAAAGTGATTCCAGGACACATTCTTCCAGTACCAAATGGTATGTACTCAAAGTTTGAACCGTTGAAGTTGTAATCTACCATTGTATCAATGAACCGCTTTGGTTCAAATCTCTCTGGTTCATTCCAAATTTTGGGATCTCTGCCGATGGCCCAGGCATTAATAATAACCCTTGTCCCACGAGGTATCTTATATCCATTGATTTCACAACTCTCACTATTCTCCCTTGGAATCAATAGTGCCGCGGGTGGATGCAGCCTCAAGGTTTCATTGATAATAGTATGTAAATATTTTAGTTGATGAAGTTCTGATTCGTCTATAAATTCCTTGCCTCCATAAACTCTTCTTACCTAATGTAAAACAAAAAATAGTTCTCATATGTAGGTCTATAAATCAATATCAATAAAGAAATACTTTTTCGGTTTTTACTATAAAACCTAATTAACTAATTTGAGTAGATTAAGGATATTAGTTAAATAAGTTAATATGATATGTGTTTTTCTAAAACACTCTAAACATCTTTTTAATTCTCTTCCTCCCCCTCTTACTTGATCATTGTTGAGGCAACATCAACAAGGTTAATTTAGAAAAAAAATTTGATAGTTATATGAAATAGGTCTTATATTTAGGACTAACATTAACTCTCTAACTAGGTCTTATATTAAAGACCGGAGCAGTAACCACTATATTAAGAGACAAATTTACACACAGCCTAAAAAATTCAAAATTCAAATAGTGTCTATACCTCTGCTTGTGCCTCTTTCATTGCCTTTGGGTTTTTGAGTAATTCTGACACAGCCCACTCTGCTGTAGTTGCTGTTGCTTCAGTTCCAGCAAAGAAAACATCCTGAAAAGGGATTCACGTAATTAATCAGAAGGATGTGCATGTTTTCTTGTGTATAAAATTACTAATTATGTAACATTTATATGATATATTGACCACATACTAACTTTAAGAACAGCTTTAATGTTGTCAAAAGATAACTGGATCTCAAGGTCATTGTCCTCTTGAATCTTGAGAAGAACATCAACTAGATCATCTCGGACTTCTCCGAAATTATTTCCTTTCTTTTCTTTGTGTTCTCTAATGATTTCATCAAACACTCCATCACGATCTTTGTGCAACTTCATAGTTCGATCTCTCATCCCAGTGATGACGCTAATAAATTTCAGCGAAGGATAGAAATCATCAATGGATAACCCAGAGCCTAGCATTATTGATTCTTCCATTGTTTGCAGCAAGTGTTCTACATTCTTTGTCTTTTTTCCACAAGCCGCTCTCACAACTACATAATTCATGAATGCGTAGATTTTTCCACTAAGATTCATGACAGAACCTTCATGTTCAGAGATATCCCTCACAAGTGCTAATACTTCCTCTTCCCTTATGTCCTTGAATGATTGAACCCTTCGTTTGGAGAAAAGCTCCAAGAGACAAATCTTTCGAAGTTGCCTCCAATAGTTTCCATAAGAGGAAAAAATGATGTCTATGCTACTGTAGGTCAAAAGATCAGAGGCAAGATTTTTGGGCCTATTTGCAAAGATTTGATCATGGGTCTTCATTATTTCTTTGGCATATTCTGGTGAAGACACTATGATATGAGAAACCTGTCCAAATTGAAGGTGCATGAAGGGGCCGTACTTGTTTGCGAGATTTGTGAGAGAAGGATGGGGTAGTGAGCCAGCAAGTTGGTGTAGGTTTCCGATGAGTGGTAATTTCCACGGACCTGCTGGTAGGTTTTTGGAGGGTTTCTTTGAAGAAGATAGCTTATGATCACAAAGAAGCAGAAGAAAGTGAAGAAGATGATAGAATATGGGATCTGTATATGCTTATTGAAGGAATGGTAATTAAAGCTAACTGATAGGTTTTGCGTTGTCAGCCTGATTTTATAACTCAACACTTGGGAGTTTTTGAATTATAATTTATACATACGTAATGAAGATTGACTGTATGATTTATCCTTTACTCTTTGTTTTAACGTATATTTCACGCCATTGAATTACTACAGTACTTGAAGGGGGAATATATACAGGTTATGTTTTTCAACGTGTCATATCACTATAAGTAAATAGATGTAATGTTTTCCAGTGATCTTATGTCATACAAAAACCTGTTATAAGTTTGCTTTTCTAATTCTTAATTAATAACATAATATAAAAAGTTAGTCTATTTCTTTATCAATTAAATAACCCCTTATAATTAGGATAGGAAAAATTACTTTGAAAATTGAAAAATTACATGCAAAGACCTGTTTATAAAAATTGTTGTCATTTATTTATCAATTTTTGTCAAAACTCATGTTGTAATGGGTCGCTATTCACATTTTTTTCAATTTCTAAGGTCTTTTTTCTGATTTTTCCTTTAGGATAAGCTTTGCACCCATGTGATGCACGTGATATTGTGTAATTGTAGTACATTGTCCCTGGATGGGCCTGTTTGGGATAGCGATGAAAAACACTTATAAATACATTTCATGTAAGTCAAGACAAAACTCATTTTACATATTTATCTCGTATTCCGTAATCACGTTTGAAAAGCCACTAACAAATTATTCCAAACAAGTCCCTTATGTATCATGGCTTCTACTTTCGTCATCTATATGGGAATTATTGTCTATCATAGAAATTATGGGACCATTGTTTGTTGTCGTGCGTTTGTCCGTTTTTAAACCAAAATATAAAAATTATATTCAATTCAATTTATCAGTAGTTTAGGTTAATGAATTTGCTGCCCTGCCCTGCCCTGTGTATGCGTGCATATAATTATATATAGAACTCGTTCGTCCTTAACGGCCCTGGCCTCATGTTGGATTTGTTTTCAGGTTATTCAAGCAACAGATATATATTTTAATCAAAATCTAAGTCTTACCACTCTCGCCCTTCTTATAAGTTACTTATAGGGTGTTTAATGATTTTCCCCCCAGTTTTACTCTTAATAAATTCTGGTTAGAAAGAGAGAGAGAGATGAGAATGATTTGTAAATTCAGAGAGAAAAAACTTTAAAAAGAATAAATTTAAATTTTTTTTGTCAATTTAATACTTTTCTTGATATATGAGAATGAATTATAAGTAACTTATAATAAGGACTAGAGTGATATTTTTTAATATATAGAGTATTTTATGAATTGTAATGTCAATTAATATCTTTCAATTTAAAATGTCTCTATTAGTATATCGAAATTGCTTTTTTTTTTTTTTAGCTAAAGTATACTTTTAGTCCTTGAACTTTATACAAGGTTTTCTCTAACTCTAAAACTATTAACAAAAAATGATAATATTGAGCTCTTGAATGCTGATAGAATATTATGAAATATTAACATATTAAGTTTAATATTCAAAACAACCATGATTGTTACAAAAAATTATCATTTAAGGCTAACAATTATGGGGTTAAAGGACTAAAAGTTGAATTTTTAAAATTAAGGGATCAAAGTAAAACCTTACATAAAGTTAAAGGACCAAATGTATACTTTAGCCTACTTTTTTTTTTTCCCTCCTATCTCATTAATATGATTTATTCCCCATGTATTAGTTCAGGGAGTATGATTATTAATTTACTGTTCCATGTTGTTGGGAGAGGATTGCTCATCCACTTCATTTTATTTTCTAATCAGCAGACTAAGATCTGAATGATCTAGATTTTAATACTTATCACGCTTAATGAGTACCAAAACTCGTTCCAATATGAAGTAGTCATGACAATTAGAAATTTTTAAGACACTTGGAAGAGCAAAATTGTTTCGTTCTTTTGTACAGTTATGATCACAGTTTTTTTTTCCCTATAATCTTTTGCTTAACTCGCTTAAAAGTTGGAAAAGAAGGTCATGCTCCGGCATGTTAATTAAACAATGTTTCATGCTTGACTGTCTGATGCATTAACGGCTCAATGCGAACACTTTTGGGAGCATATTCTATGCTAACAAAAAAGATATTGAGTCATGCTCATCTTAATCTAAAAAATAACATTAATTTTGAATGGTTCAAATTTAATTTAATTATTTTTATATTTTAAATAATTTTTAAATTTGGATTGTCCATCTTAGATCACGAGTGATCTATGATGAGCATTGAATGATAACTTACTATATAGATGAATTTTCTAGTCATAAATTTTATAGCACTAAAGTGAAACTCAATTTCAATCTACAATTTTTGTTTTTTATTTTTTCCTAAATATTAATGCAAAGACCAAATCTTCAAGACACACACACACATATATAATCCTAAGGGAAATGGCGAATCGGAACTACATTCAGATTGTTTTTCCTTCTTACCGCAGCTCCAAATGACTCATCCATGTCCATTTCCTCAGGCTTCAATCTACTGGGGAGTTTCCAATCAAAATGGTAAAGTAAATTGGAAAGTAACAATTCTAGAGTGGGTATAGCAAATGTAATTCCAGGACATATTCGTCTTCCCGCGCCAAATGGGATGAACTCAAAATTTGAACCATTGAAATTGTAATCAACCATTGTATCAAGAAACCTTTTAGGTTCAAATCTCTCTGGTTCATTCCAAATCTTGTGATCTCTTCCAATAGCCCAAGCATTAATAATAATCCTTGTTCTTGGAGGTATCTCATATCCATTGATTTTACAACTATTACTATTCTCTCTGGGAACCAACAATGCCCCAGGTGGATGCAGTCTGAAGCTTCCTTTGATAACAGCACCTAAATATTTTAATTGATGAAGTTCTGATTCATCGACAAATCCTTTGCCTCCACAGATTCTTCTTACCTGAAAATCCAATATATGAAGTCTCATGTAAAGACAAATGCTGATAATTTCAATTTTTTTACATGTATATCAATAAATAAATAATCCAGTATACTAATAATTAATCATATTTATGCACACGAAGTCCACAAAATCACAATACGTATTCAGAATTCTAATTTTACTTGTACCTCTGCTTGTGCCTCTTTCATTGCCTCTGGGTTTTTCTGTAATTCTGACATTACCCGTTCAATTGTAGCTGCTGATGTCCGGTCCCAGCAAAGAAAACATCCTGAAAAAGGATTCACAATTGATTAATTAAAAGGATGTTCAATTCTTTCATAATTAATTATGTAACATTTATATGATATAAAGTGCACACACTAACGAACTTTAAGAACAGCCTTAATGTTGTCAAGGGATAAGTGGATCTCAAAGTCATCCTCCGCTTGAATCTTGAGAAGAACATCAACTAGATCATCCTCGACCTCTCCAAAATTATTGCCTTTCTTTTCTTTGTGTTCTCTAATGATTTCATCAAGCACTTCATCACAATCTTTGTGCAACTTCATAACTCGAGCTCTCATCCCAGTGATGACACTAATAAATTTCAACGAAGGATAGAAATCATCAATGGATAACCCAGAACCAGCCTTTATTGATTGCTCCATTATTTGCGGTAGATGTTCTACGTTCTCTGTCTTTTTGCCACACGCCGCTCTGACGACTACATAATTCATGAATGCGTAGATTTTTACACTAAGGTTCATGACAGAACCTTCATGTTTAGAGACATTCCTCACAAGTGCCAACACCTCTTCTTCCCTTATTTTTTTGAATGATTGAACCCTTCTTTTAGAGAAAAGCTCCAACAGACAAATCTTTCGCAGCTGCCTCCAGTAGTTTCCATATGGGGAAAAGATGATGTCTGTGCACTTATAGGTCAAGATATCAGAGGCAAGATTTTTGGGCCTATTTGCAAAGATCTGATCATGTGTCTTCATTATTTCTTTGGCATATTCTGGTGAAGATACTATGATATGAGAAAGTTGTCCTAGTTGGAGATGCATGAATGGTCCGTACTTGTTTGCAAGATTTGTGAGAGAACGATGGGGAAGTGAGCCGGCAAGTTGGTGTAGGTTTCCTATAAGGGGTAATTTCCATGGCCCTGGAGGTAGGTTTCTGGTGGGTTTCCTGGAAGAAGATAGCTTGCGGATCACAAAGAAGAAGCAGAAGAAGATGAAGATGATTGAATATGGGTTCTGCATCTCCATATTGAAAGAATGGTACTCAAAAGGTAAGTTTGAGGTTTTATGCGTTGCCCGGCTATGCCTTTTATGCTCAACACTTGAGGTGTGAACTACAAGAAAGATCGACTTGAATGCAAAAAGACAACATTAAAACGCCAATATGTATCCATGTGTATATATTTGTGTCTTGGACAGGCTGGTGTTTTGGACATAAAAGGGGAAAATAGAACAAGTCGGCATTCTGGCATGAAAGCAAAGCAGACAAAAGAACGAGGCGGCATTTTGAGCATCAAAGAATTTTATTTTCAATTGAGATAGAAGAAAGACTCCTACTAAATATAAAAGCTTATAATATAAACAACCCATCATATAATATTGTAATAAATATATCCAATTATAGATAAATAAAGACCATGTTTCCCCGTTGGTTATTATGAACTTTCCGCCTGATTTTGTTTTGACGGAGCTTTGGGCCTGATATACCATGCTTTCAACACGGCAATTTTCTCGTAATTCCTTTTTCTCTCTTTTTTTCCCCCTTCCAGAATCTCATTTTTACCGTTAAATTAAAAAATAAATGGTTTAGATTTAATATTTTAAATAGTAGGTGTTTACCTTTTTCTTCGGGAAAATTCCAGAAAAGGTCCCTTGAATATATGAAATCCCAGATTGGATCCTGGAATTTCCAAAATGACAGAAAGGGTCAGTGACCCAATCTGTCATTTGTGAAATTAAGACCGATTGACAATTTTGTCCCTGGCTAAGTAAAAGTGAGTAGTTATTCTCTACACAAATCTATGTAACGCTTACATTGTTCTAGTGATTACAAGATTAGTTGTAGTTAATAATAAGGTACCTGACTATGAAAAAGTGAGTAGTTATTCTCTACACGATTCTAGGTAATACTTACATTGTTCTAGTGATTACAAAATTAGTTGTAGTTAATAACAAGACAACTGAATATGAAAAAGTGAGTAGTTATTCGCTACATGAATCTAGGTAATGCCTAAACCCGTATAGTGATTCCTTAAATCATTATAGTGAATGAATACAAATGAGGGCAAAATTGTCAATTCTTCTTGATTTGTCAAATGACACATTGGGTCACTGACGCTTTCTGTCATTTTGGAAATTCCAGGACCCAATCTGGGATTTTATATATTCGAGGGACCTTTTCTGGAATTTTCCCTTTTTCTTTTTTATTTATATAATATTATAATAATAATTTTATAAAGTATGAAATTTAAATCATCCATTATTTGATCTGATATTGGAGATAAGACCATGAGAAGAATGAGAAATCCTGAGAGTATCTTCTAAAATTTTATCTCTAAAGTTATTTAAATGATGAGTTGTGCTGAGTAAGAGATGACATATTACCAGGTAGGTAGGTGAGACGGCATTGTTAATGTGAAATTGTTTACACCCAGTCAGATTTGTTCTCTCCATCGTCATCATCTTCTTCCGCTTCCCGGACGACCGCCATGGATGCACAGGTAAGAGAATCTGTAAACCCAGGTAGATAATATTCCGGCAAATAATGAGACTGAACAGTATCATTGTTGATTGCGATGCTCAACGGACAGCCAACTACTGTCCTAATTAAAACATTTTGTTTGGAGACCACAAATAAAATATTATAATTAGAACCAGAGTACTAGTCATGGAGAGCGCAACATCCGAGATGGCAACTGTTTTTTTTTTTTTTTACTATTTTCAGTTTTAATTATAAAATAAAATCTCATTTTTACATACTACAAACTTATAATTGGGATCTGAGGTGGTACTAGTCATGAAGAGCGTAACATCTGAGATGGAGACTGTCTTTTTTACTACATCCGATTTTAATTATAGAATCTTGTTTGTAGATTATTAAAAAAAAATCTTATAATTAAAATATGAGGTAGTATTTTACTTTAAAAACTCAAATGGGCGTCAAATTAATGAATAATGAAAATGAAAAAAAGCAACGATTCAATGTCAGGCAAGGCTGGAATAGCAGATTCTCCGCTGAATTAGCCACCGACTAGCGAAGCAAAGTCAACGATTCCCCGACATGAACGAGTGACATAAAAATAAAAAACGTACTATTTTTTTTGTCGATAATAAAATGTCATTTATTTTATATCAAATCTAATGATAAAAATATATAAGGAAATTAAAAAAATTAAAAAGTTAGGAAAAATTAAGAAGCAGTAGACACCTCAAATCTACACCCGAGTCTATATAATTATCATCGTGAGGAACGCAAGATTCTGCTTTAAACAGGGGAGTTTGAATTACAAAGTTGTTGATTGTAAAGTTTGACTATCACATAATGTTACGGAATTGAAATTGTTACAAAATTTTGAAGGTATTATTGAGCATAAAAATTGATACAAAATTTTAAACTCACATCTTATTAATTTAATGTTAGTTAATATTGGAGAGACTTGGAGACAGCTATTAATAAAGACAAACAACTACTTTGCGCAATTTCAAGGTTTATAGTGCTGCTCTCTTTTGGGAATCTATGACTTGGAAAAAAGCACCTAATATATAATTTAATACAAAATAAAAATTCATTGCAAAATGATTTTTTTTATTCATCATTTTTGGCTTCCACAATATAGATTCAAGGGTACATAGAACCAGCCGAAACATCACTCGGGTAATAAACACACGCAGTATAAACTCAAGCATAATAGCAAATAGGAGCTAAAATCAGATCATTTTTCCTTCTTACCGCGGCACCAAATGACTCCTCCATGTCCAATTCCTCAAACTTCATTCCTTTTGGTAGTTTCCAGTTGAAATGGTAAAGTAAATTGGAAAGTAACAACTCTAAAATTGGCGTTGCAAATGTAGATCCAGGACATATTCTTCTTCCAGCACCAAATGGAATATACTCAAAATTTGAACCTTTGAAATTATAATCAACCATTGTATCAAGAAACCTCTTTGGTTCAAATTTTTCTGGATCATTCCAATTCTTGGGATCTCTTGCAATGGCCCAAACATTAATAATAATCTTTGTCTTAGGAGGTATCACATATCCATTAATTTCACAACTCTCACTATTTTCTCTTGGAACCGACAATGCTACTGGTGAATGTAGCCTTAGAGTTTCTTTGATGACAGCATTTACATATTTCAGCTGGTGAAGTTCTGACTCATCTACGTATCCTTTGTTTCCATAAACACTTCTTACCTAACGTAGAGCCAATATAATAATTCTCATATATAATTCAACTCAATAATTTTAAATTTATCAATCAGTATGAAGAAATAAATAATCACAGAAGCAAAATTCAAAACTCTAGTTGTATCTGTACCTCTGCTTGTGCCTCCTTCATAGCCTTTGGGTTTTTGAGCAATTCTGACATAGCCCATTCTGTTGTAGTTGCAGATGTTTCAGTTCCGGCAAAGAAAACGTCCTGACATGAAATTCAGAGAATTGATTAGAGGAGTGTGTGGGTGCTATTGTGCTTTTTGTGTACCAAACATCAAGTTATGTAACATCTAATATGATAAAGTGCCCCAGAGAACTAACTTTAAGAACAGCTTTAATATTGTCAAGAGATAAGGGGATGTCAAAGTCATTATCCTTTTGAATCCTGAGAAGAACATCAACAAGATCCTCCTCTGCCTCTCCAACATTATTTTTCTCCTTTTCTTTGTGGTCTCTGATGATTTCATCAAACACCTTATCTCCATCTCTATGAACCTTCATCATTCGAGCTCTCGTGCCAGTGATAACACTAACAAATTTCAGCGAAGGATAGAAATCAGAAATTGATAACCCAGAGCTTAGCTTTATCGATTGCTCCATAATTTCCAACATCTGTTCTACGTTCTTTGTCTTTTTTCCAAAGGCTGCTCTAGCAACTATGGAATTCGTGATTGTGAATATTTTTCTACTAAGGTTTATGAAAGAGCCTTCATGTTCAGCGACGTTCCTTACAAGTTCTGATACCTCCTCTTCCCTAATCCTTCTGAATGATTGAACCCTCTTTGCTGAAAAAATCTCTAAAGTACCAATCTTTCGAAGTTGCCTCCAATAGTTTCCATATGGGGAAAACACGATGTCTGTGCTGTTATAGGCAAAGATATCAGAGGCAAGAATTCTGGGTCTGTTTGCGAAGATCTGATCATGGGTCTTCATTATTTCTTTGGCATATTCAGGTGAAGACACTATGATATGAGAAAGCTGTCCAAGTTGAAGATGCATGAAGGGTCCATACTTGTTTGCAAGATTTGCTAGAGAACGATGAGGTAGTGAGCCAATGAGCTGGTGAAGATTTCCTATGAGAGGTAATTTCCATGGCCCTGGAGGTAAGGTTTTGATCGGTTTGGTGGAAGAAGATAGCTTGTGGATGACAAAGAAAAAGCAGAAGAAAGTGAAGAAGACGATAGAATATGGGATCTGCACCTCCATATTGAAAGAACGATAATTAAAGGTAAGTGTGAGGTTTTGTGGTGTCAAGTTACGCCTTTTTAATTGTAATTTACAACTAAATAATGATCGACTTTATGATTTTTTTCCCTTTATTTTTTGTTTGATGTATATTTCATGCCATTGACTTTGCTATCGTTCAAAGTTCAAACAAGGTTTATTTAAAATTGTATATTATAATATATCATGTACATAAAATTCCACGATGTCTCTATCATATTCATATAGTCAGTGGGAAGAGAAGCTCCCAGAGGCTTGAAAAATTATACTCCTTTAATCTTATTTATAAATCACTTCAAACATGTTTCATACAAATAAGAAAAACTTTAAGTCTTATTAACTCTCATTTAAAATTCAACCTTCTAACTTTAGCCTTATTTAAGATGCATTATACCTCATGTAAATAAAGTCAACATAATAATAAATGAAGGATAAAATTACATATCTACACACAAAAATTTACTCAGTGTTCTATAAATACGACCAAAAAATATTTTCTCTCTCTGCCCTATAAATAGAACCAGAGGACTATTATACACCATGATTTCAGATCATAATCATAAAAATAAATAATTATATTAAAATTGATTGATAAGGAAAATTCATCAAAAATTTCTCACTGAAAATTTGATTTGTGAGAAGGACACAAATCAGAGTTGGTATTTTATATGCACAAAATTTGCAGAATATTGATTTTTTTTATGTATAAAAATTTATCCGGTTTTTCTTACCAATACAGTTTTCAAAGAAAGATATTTTTTCTCTCAATTTTTCCTATAGAGTTGATATGTTATTTCACATTAAACCTCTAGCTAGTGAGAAGTGATTACAGATGCTGGCCAATTTATGGGTCCAGTTTGAAATGTTTTCTTTTTTGGTAATTTGTTTGTTTTTGGGCCCAACAGTTTGAAATATAAATGTTTTTGCCCCCAACTTCTTTGGAATTGGGCCCCACAAAGATGCGAACCGATATCCATTAACGTTCCTAATTAATTCCTCAACCGATTTTGTCTCCTTCCATAATGAAATTAGAAAAAATAGCAAATAAAGATCTTCGAATATGTGAAATTGTGATTTAAGACATTCAATTTAGAAAATAGTAAATAAAGATCTGATCTCATATTGTAAATATAAAATTTTAGTGAAATGTCTGAAATGTCCCTCAACCAAGTTGTGATTTATGGTCTACAAAAGTTATCATTTGCTAAAGTGAATTTGTCATTTCTCATTGTCAACTTATCATTTGATATACTCTCAGTCAAGTTGTAATTTGGTCAATTGAAGTTGTCATTTGCTAAAGTGAACTTGTCATTTTCTATAGTTAACTTGTCACTTAACCGAGAGGCATTTCAGACATTTCATCAAGATTTTATATTTACAATATGGGATTAGGTCTTTATTTACTATTTTCCAAATTGAGAGTCCCGCATCACAATTTTACATATTGGGGGTCTTTATTTGCCATTTTTCATGAAATTACTCCGTCTCTTCAAAATATTAGGAATAAAATACTTGGATTTCCTTTACATTTTGTTTTCATTACACATATATTTTTTATTTTAAAAATATACACTTAAATTCAAGCTGTTAACTCCGTTAAGAATATTCTAAAAAAATTTTAATTAAAATTTATGTTGAAATACTTTTAATTTACTAATTTATCCATCATAATACTAAATCCCTAAATTTTGGCTAAAATTATCTTGAAGTATTTGATATTTTCTCCTTTACCTTAATTTTATTTTTTATTTTTACAAATTGCTGTTTATTTAATGTTTTTATCATATTGGGCAAGAAAATTAAGTAATTTAGTTAATGTAAACGTTAAAAAAATATTGAAGAGAAATTTGATTAATTATTTAAATAAATATATAATTGATCAAATTAAATAAGTTATAAATGTTTGCAAAAATTTTTTAAAAAAATTTAAACTATAATTTAAATGAATTATATAATTTTCTAAAATCACATAATTTATATTATATGATGAAAAATAAGTATTTAGAACATTTTCTAGCTATTTAAAAGAAACATTAAGTTTCAATATTTCATGAAGAATTAAAATTATATAATTCATTTAAATTATAACATAATCAAAATTAAAAATTTTATAACATATTGAAAATTTTGAAAATACATGTATTATAATTATTTTTTGTTGTACCAAAAATTATTTTTTTATAGATATAAATGTTTGAATAATGTTTATATTAAAGAGAGATATTTTGGTCAAAATAAAAATTTGAAAGTTAAATTTAATGGTCAATCAATAGTTTAATGGATAGAAATAGAAGTTTAAAAATACAAGATTTGTATAACATATATTTTAATTTTAAGATAGGTTTATATGTATTTTTTCAAAAAAGGTTGCTGTAATTTAAATAAAATAAAAGTTAGCCAATGTATTTTACTTAAATATTAGTTAAATTTAGTTAAAAGCAATAAATATGTAAAATATATTTATTTTTTAAATTATATCCTTATTTGTAAAGAGAACACATAAAAGATAATGACTAAAAATTTATTGTGGAGAAATAACAAGTGGCATATATTTCATAAGGATAAAAGTGAAAATATTGGTTTAAAATTTCAGAAAAATAAAATTTAGTTTTTATATTTAGAGACATTACTATGAGAGAGATTGTTTTGTTTAATAGTCGGATGTGTACATCACATTCACGCAAAATTAAGGATAAGAATTGGCTCAGCTTCATTTTGGTGTTGTCGTGTATCGCGCAGTATTTCCCTACGGTTATTCACAGAACCACCCCTTGCTACTTGACTTGCTGTATAAACAACCAATATTTTATTAATTAATCCCTACCGTCCTATATATTGTTGTGGATGGGATAAGTTAAAGAATACGTATAGTCTAATTGGGTTTGTAGGGCAAACTCCTAATTAGAAATTGCAACTTTGATGCTAAAATAAATTATTCTTTTTTGGGGTTTAAATACAAGGAACAACTACTCTTTATATCTTATATTTACTTGATTTTTTTAATTTTTTTTACTTTCGTTAATTAACTTGGCAAAATTAAGTTAGTAAAACGTTAAATACACAATCATTATGTCAAACAATCAATAAAAACATTTTAGAAAGAATAAACATCAAACGTATTTTTTGATCTTAGCTAGTACTATAGTACTCTCCTAGTCTTTAATATAGGACCTAATTGTTAAGTTAATTCTGGTTCTAAATATAAGATATATTTTTTATATTTATTAATTTTTTAAATTGTCTTTATGAATACTCTTTCAACTATAACCAAGTAAGAGAGAAGAAAAGATATTAAAGAAGATGTTTATGACATTTTTAGAAAAAATATATTATATTTTTTATAATTAACTAACTTACTTAATTTTTTTTAACTTGATCAAATTAGTTAAATAGTTTTTATATTAAGAACTGAAAGAATATTTTGTAGTTTGTGTGAAATGGTAATTTATTTCTTGCAGAGAGATGAGGAGAAAAAAGGGATGGTGGTGAGAATTTATGGGACCAAACAAAAGGACAAGCCGGCAATCATGTTTGGTGGGGTCGCTTGGATTTTCTCGTGAGTAATTAATTTTTTTAATACCAATTAGATTTTTTTGCCAACGTAATACCAGTTAGATTGAACAAAACGAAACAACCCAATTTGTTAAAAGAGTTTGATTGATTACCACATTTGATTCTTAATATAAAACTAAGACAATTACTTTGAGAAGATTAAAAAAATTAGTTAAATTAATTAATTATAATAAATGTATGTTGATTTTTTTAAATTACTCTATTTAATTATGTGTATTGAAACTATTTCTTGAGGAGAGTGTTTTATAATTAATAAGAATGTTTTAGAAAAAAATTATAAATTTGAGAAACAAAATAAAAGTATTGTATTTAGAACTAAATTTAATATTAAGTTAGTTCTTATATTAAAGACAATAAGTAATATATAGATAGGGATTCCCCCTGCAATCGCTATATTTTCCTTCTCCCTATCCAAAATATCTACTAGAAAAAAAATCCTTGGTCAATAGTACAATAGTATAAGCCATTATTAATTATCATTTTCTTGTTATTCATTGGTGGCATACATTAGATATCAAGAAAAAAGAGAAATGTGAGGCAAATTTGAACAAGAGAGAAGGTGCAAAATTTTCAATTTTAAGACAAATTAGTGGCCTAACAGTAAGCGTGATGTGGACGGGGCGCCTGCGTGAAATACAGTGACCTAGTATATCATTCCCACTTCTAAAGAGGGGACACATGCGTGTCAAGCTGAATAACTAGACTAGCTAACTTTAGTTACTAAACTAAGATAACGGTGAAAATCACTTATAAATACATTTTACATAAACTAAGATAAATTGTCACCTTTGAGAGGTAACTTGGATAAAGAGAGTTTGCCGCGGGATCACAAGATGAGGCACAAGAAGGTGAAGATTTATTTAGTCAAGTGAACATATAAAAATTGATAACTATAAAGAGAAACTTGAAACCTCCCTTTAGCTTAGATCCACATGAAATGTAATCATTAAGCCGGTAGGTTTTTGCAAGGATGAAGCTAGCAGAAGGTGAAGATGATGGCAACGAAAGCCAAGTTACAAGGTTCTGTGTGGTGAAGTACGCCTTTTATGACACAAACACATTCTTTTTTCCTTCACCCTGATTTTTTTTCAACGGATCTTTTAGCCTGATATGCCATATTTCCAACAAGGTTTTTATATAGCACTATATTATACTCCTTGGGAGCTAGTTTTGGTTTGGGGTTTAATTTTTGCCTTAAATATAAAATCCGTTTTCTGAATTTATAATTTTTCCCTCAAAATATCCTAGTTACTTACATGTCTGAAAGGGGTCTAATCAATAAGATGATGATCTAGTTACTACATTTACGGCACAGAGATAAAAAGTGACACATTTTAATGTGGTAAAAGTGAAAAGACTAATTTAAAATTTTAGATAAAAAGAATTTGTTAGGAACACTGTTATGAGAGAGATTGCTTCTTATAAAAAT